AAATATGCGTGTTTGTGCTGCAGTCCTCACATGGGCCCTATGCTCACCCATCTCACTGGAAACAAAGAGAGAAGGAAAACTGTCAGCTCTGAGTAAGGCTTCTGCGCCTTCTGACTTGCTGTCATTTATCTGCCTGAAACAGCTTTTGTTTGAAACGTGACAGCTGTCAGAGGGCTCGGTAATGACTGAATTCAGGATCGCTGAATACTCAGGGGGAAAAAAAATCTCACCAACTGAAACAAAAAGAGAAAGGGTGGGATCCTGGCTCCATTGAAGACCATTGGAATTTTGCCACTGATTTCAATAGGGCCAAGATTTCACCCAATAAGCATCCTAGACTGGCAATGATTTTGTTTAATTCTGTGTTATACCAAAGAACTGAAGCAATAAAATTAAGGCAGAAGAAATCTGGCTGCTTTGCAAACCCCGTTTGAATATGTGTTTTTTATGACCATTCCCAAGTAACCTGTCTTGCTATGTCGCCGTTCTTACTCACACAAGACTTCTACTGGACCGGGTCCTATGGTGGAACAGTTGACTCAGAGTTGCATTCTGTAGGTTTTGATCCAGAGAGCTGTTCCATTAGGGCAGACACTCACTGTCGGTATCAGTCTTTAGGCATTTGCATACTCGGATCTTGGAAATAGTCTGGGTGAACTCCTGGCTCCACTGAAGTCAATGGCCAGACACCCAGGGATTCACTGGGATTGGATTTCACCCCAAATATTGACAGGTGGAGATACTTGATATTTTTAAAAATGTTGAAAAGTCAACAAAAAGCATCATCAAGCTGGTAGAAAATTCAACATTTTGACTTCAAAAAATTGTGAAAAAATGTTCACCATTTTTGTGAAACAGGGTTCATCTGAAGAAGTGGGCTGTAGTCCACAAAAGCTTATGCTCTAATAAATGTGTTAGTCTCTAAGGTGCCACAAGTACTCCTGTTCTTTTTGCGGATACAGACTAACACGGCTGCTACTCTGAAAAGGGTTCATGAAATTCTCTCTCACTGTTTTGGTGACCATATTGTGTGAAAAAATGCATCATTTTTCATTAAAAGAATTCACATTTTTGTGAAAAACAAAATCAGTTTACATGGAAAAAAACCTCACCAATTTTCCTGGGGGAAAAACCACACTTTTTCCCCTTAAATTCACAATTTTTTGTGAAACACATTTCACTAATTTTCATCCAGCTCTTAAAGTGGCTCTAGTTCATAGGGCCAATTTGACCCAATAATAATGGATCTGAGCCTTTGTTAAATGCTTAAACCAAATTATAGTTGAATCATTTTATCTGCTCCAAAAAGGTGTGTGTTTGGATAGCATTTTTTCCCATTGGTTTCAATTTCTACATTCCAATGGGCTTGTGGATTCTAAACAGGGAGGGCTGAAATACCATGAAAAAGAGCGTTTTGGTGGCATTTTTGGCCCAGCTAATATAGAATATAAATGGCTAGTTCTAGCTTTTATCAGTAGATTTCAAAGCACTTTACAAAGGAGGTCAATATCATTACCCCATTTTACAGATAGGAAAGCTGAGGCATAGAGTGGAAAAGTGACTTGCCCGAGGTCACCAAGCGGGCCCTTGGAGAGTCAGGAATAGAACACAGGTCTCCTGAGGCTACGTCCTCACTACGGGGGGGGGGGGGTTGATTTAAGATACGCAAATTCAGCTACGCAAATAACATAGCTGAATTCGACATATCGGAACCGACTTACCCCACTGTGAGGACAGTGGCAAATCGACCTCCGCGGCTCTCCCGTCGACGGCGCTTACTCCTACCTCCGCTGGTGGAGTAGAAGCGTCGATTCGGGGATCGATTGTTGCGTCCTGACGAGACGCGATAATTCGATCCCCAAGAGATCGATTTCTACCCGCCGATTCAGGCGGGTAGTGTAGACCTGCCCTGAGTCCTAAGTCAGTGCGCTATCCACTAGGCAACACTGCCTCTCTAGGTACCAGAAATCTTGCATTCAATTTTTATTGCTCTGCCTTCATTTTCTGACCCTTTATTGCATACATATGAAAGTTCTACAATGGACAATATACTTCTTGTAAACTCCCCTCGCTATTCACCAAAGCCCTGGCAAATTATGTGTGTGCTCCATATTTCTAGAGTGCTGAGCTAAATCCTTTTGGAGTTGTATTCTTATTAAAGATTCTCTATTGCTTCTCTTCCCTAGCGTCAGATGGTTCGCTATAGCTTCAGCACTGAATGATCGTTATTATAAAAATATTCTTCAGGAAAATAATATACAGTATGGAGTCTTATCATTGCACTTTGCATTGGTATCAAGGAGTGAGTTCTTTCTGGTAAAACTTTACAGCCCTTTATATTATTCTCTGACCCTTGTATTCAACTCAGTTTCATTGCAGTCATTAAAACTCTGGGAAGTGTCTCAAAAACAACGTTCCTAAACGGTCATGACTGTTGGGTGGTCCAGAATCAAAGTTTTTTAGAATTTCTCCTCCCCCCCCCCAAGAAATTACAAAATTTCGTCTTTTTGTTCTGATTCTGAATGAAAAAAATGTGTCAAATTTCCTGCAGCATGGAAATTCCACCTCCCCCCCCCCAGCTCTAA